GTCAAACCGTCAGAAGTTCACCCCTGATTGAAGGCCTTCTCACCGTCTGATCCAGCTCAAATTTGAAGACCTTAAAGATGGAAGTATCAGCTTTCCAGTGCACTTTACAGCTTGGCAATCCAACGGTTCAATCAAAAGATACGCGAAGAGCAAGATGTCCCGTAAACCAGCTGGCCAGCACTTCCACCCGCGGCCAACAAGCATTTTCTTGCGGTCAGGAGCATCCCGACCGTGGCAAACCATACTTTCCCCGCGGTCAGAGCACTCCCGACCGCGGCCTTCAACCTCCAAGCCCAAAAAGCCCATTTCTGAAGCCCACATTTGGAGAAACCCTAAGTGACGTCCAGAGAGGTCTTGAGCACTATAAATACATGTCTTAGGAGCCCTAGAAATCGTGTGTGTAACCTTAGAGAACCGAATTATTTACTTCATACTTTTATTGTTTTTGCTTTAGCTTTTAGGGAGAGAGAGATTTGTTCTCTTGAACCCTTGTTCTTTCTTTTTCAATTTCGGTTTCTATTCTACTTCTTAATATTATGTCTTTGATTTCGTTCATAATGTCTGAGTAGTTTTGTTGTTGGGATTAAGGGATTTTTGATGGGGATTTATATGTTCGGTGAGGATTCCATTGGCTATTGAGCCGAATCTTAGAACTTTTTCTTCTGAATTCGTTTTTACTGCATGAGAGTAGCGTCATGAACTACAATCTGATCCAGATGCTTCGTGACACGAAAGTGTTCATCAGGTATCAGATCTAGTTTGGGAGAGCAAAACAAACATAGGAGTGGAAACCTACCTATGGGCGATTGGTGAATTAGGACGAGTCTTAAATATAATGCATATCTTCTCTTCCAGGGCCAGAGTGGAAACCTACTGGTTAGGGTTGAGAGAGATAGTTGTCTATGATCACGACAGTGGCGTATTCATACGTCCGTGACTCCAGTACAAAAATTTTAAGCTAAGATCTTATCAAATTTCCTCTCTAGCAATGTTTTGAATCGTTCGTACCCCTGAGAAAACTTCCCTGAACCCCAACGCTTTCTTTTCCATTGATTTACACCGATTTTCTTTCAAGCTTTAGTTCAATATTGTCTTTCCTTTTTAGTTCATTTTCATTTAAGCATTAGAATATCCGTTTTTATCATTTTTAGTTATTTTCGTTAAGTTTAGTTATTACGCCATTTAATTTCCGTACTCTCTTTTAATATTTTGTTTTTACATTTTAAAGACACCACCAAACCCCCACTAAACCGTTTTTGTTCTAGACTTCCTTACTTTAACTTATTTCAAAGGCTTTTTGTAGCAAAAGATCCTCCTTCCTTGTGGATTCGACCCCTAAGTACTACAATTGATCAGTTGTGCACTTACGGCTATTGATTTTAATTTAGGATAAAACTTGACACACCCTCTCAACACACGACAGCAACCATCAGGTATCATCCTTCTTTTTGGTGTTTTTTTCTGGTTTTTTGATTTTTTTTGGTTTTTTTGTTTTATAAAAAACACCTGAAACTAAGAAAAAGAAAAAGATCAAAAGAAAAAGATCAAAAGAAAAAGAAAGAAAAATTCTAAAGAAAACAATACCTAAATGGGTTGCCTCCCATTAAGCGCTTCTGTTTTAAGTCGTTTAGCTCCACTTTTGGTGTTGGACGTGACTTATTCCAATGAAGAAGACCTTGTCCTGAGACAAGTCTTTTTCGAAATCTCCTTGCTTTGCTTAGCAGGTTCTTCATCACTCCAAAGTTCTTCTTCAAACTCTTCAGTTGCAGAACGTTTTCCTGCTTTGCTGTTGTATGGGACAGCTTCTGTGAAGACATCTTTGTCGATATTAGCAAATGAAATCCTCCGGTTTGGCCAGTCCATTATAGCTCCGGAAGTTGCTAGAAAAGACCATCCCAGAATCACTGGATATGTTGCATCTCTCGTTTTGACAATGTAGAAGTCGACAGGCACTATGCAATCTCCTATTCTCAAAGGAATTTCATGAGCTATTCCATGAGGTGTTGCATTTGAATCATCAGCTAGACTAATCTTTGCTCTAGTCCTGCGCAGGTGTCTAATACCAAGTCTCAAAGCAATTGCCTTGGACATCATGTTAAGACAAGCTCCAGAATCACATAACACGTTTTTAAACATTTCTCCTCTGATAGAACAAGAGATAAGAAACTGACTTGTAGTCTTGACCTTATGGAGAATTCGAACTTGCCTTTCTCTGTAGGTGTTGGCTGGTGTCTCAAACGCAGAATAGGATTCACAAAAGAAGGCTGCAGCATCATATTCAATGATTGAATCAATGTATGGCATCTTTATCTCGCTGCACGTCTGGTCTTCTTGGATTGAAGAGTCAGCTGAATCTTCAACACATTCCTTTGCCATCATACAAGGTAATGATTCATGCCGATCTGGTTCTTCATCTGAAACTTGGTTCTCTTCTTCCTGAGTTGCTTTTTTAGGTGCTGGAGGCTGAAGTTGGGACAGAAGGTGTATTATTTTCCTCTCAAAACCCGGAGGAACATCTGAATGACCAATTTCCGCGGTCAGAGGAGCCGTGACCGCGGGAAAAGTGCTCTTGGCCACGGTTAGGATGCTTGGACCCGCGGCTCCGGATATGACTTGCTTAAAGTCCGTTTCTTCCTTCTTGTACTTGACACGAACTTCTCCTGCATCTTTATTAGGTAGAATAGCATCATATGAACTCATACCAGGGCGTTGATGTGCATCTTCATCAGGATCCTTGGGAGATTTCTTAGAAAACCTCTCAAATTGCTCAATGTTGGGCATCTGCTCCATTCTTGCATCAATCTCCCGTGCTTTGAGCTCGAGTTTGTTCAGCCTGTGCTCGATCTCTTGCAACTCTTCATCTGTCTTCTCTCTATACCAGGAGGTGGACTCTCTGACTTCTTTAATCTCCTGTTTTGATTCAGCAATATCACTTGAGTTTTGTATGATGTCATACCCTTGTCTTGTCTGCTCTGTTGCGACTTGATGGATCATCCCAGCTAGTGTTTGTGAGTCCTTGTGGGTTTGCTCTTCCAAAACTCGAACATGATTGGCCATCTCATCGAATTTTTTGTTGAACTCTTCAGAGATTGAATCAATTTTCTTGAGCAGGGTGTTCTCGGTGAGAATCTACTGATCAAAGAACTGGTTAATCATTCCTTCGAGGCGTCCCAAACGTCTGCTGATCCTCAAGTTGTCCTCTTTCTGATTAGGGTTCTGAAGTGGAGGATTATAGGCGTGTGGCTCGAAGTAGGTTGGAGGAGGGCCATAAGGATCTTCCCGGCGTCGAACAGTCTCTCTGCGCCGGTGGTAAGGGTGGTTTGGCTGGTTGTATCGATCCATGTAGCTAAAATTTTGGGCTTGAGGTTCTTCTCTGCGTCTTGTGGCTTGAGAAGTGTTATAGAAACCTTCCTCATAGTGTATATTTCTATTTATAGGATCCATATCTTCTGAAATGGAAACAAAATAACCGAAAAATGGAAAGTTGCAGAAAAGAGGATCCATATCTTCTGAAATGGAAACAAAATAACCGAAAAATGGAATTTATGAGAAATTTGATGTGGAATTCACAGTAAAGAGGATTGTGATTTGAGTTTTCTGGCTCTATCAGTATTTTTTCCTTCTCGTGTTAAAGTCAAGCTAGCTTCTGACCTTAACGAGACCTTTGACATTGTCATTTCAGGCAAGATGAAGTTAATTTTTGCTTGCAATAGGTCTTCGAGTATGGGTGTTTATTAGAGTATTCAGCCTCACTACTATTTATGTTTGTAGGTAACTGGATTGAAAATACAATCTCTGCCTCCATCGACATGCTCGTGTCATGATGCTTGACATGATTATGTTTGATACTATGGTATTATTGTTTTATTTTCGTTGTCGGATTTTAACAGCAAGTCATGCTGCTTACTGTGTGCTTGTGATATATTTGGATATACAAAGTAATGCATCTACATGACATATAGGGGTTCTTATAATGATGTTAATTTCCTTCTTATCTCTTACAATCATGATTGAGTCATATGCTGTTTCAGCTTCACTTACTACACTAACATGTGCACATTTTCATGAGTTCTGTATTATTTGTTTATAAGCTACTATTTGGTTTGATACAGGGTGGATGTTGTAGTCTTTGTACTTCAAGCGATTGCAACTCGCGTTCATTTTGGTGTGTGTCACTTTGCTAATTCTTGTGTGCATAAAGCAAGTGAGATTAGCCAGGAAGAAGAAGCGAAGTAAGCTTCTTCCACTATCTATGTAAAGACCCAAACCATATGAGAAGTTGGAACTTTTTTCTTCTTACTTAGGCCACAAAAACTAAAGGTTTTACAATTTCTAAAATCTCTATGTTGTATGTTTTTAGTTCCATATAATAAATTGTAATATTTGTTTTACAATAAATGTGTATTTAAATTTATTAGCCAAAATAAAAAAATTTTGAATTTTTTGAAAAAAAAACAAATTATTTTTTATTCAACATGAACCTCATTTAGGGGTTTACCAATAGAACCCCAAAATGAGCACAGGTTCTTCCCTTCTCTTTAATCCAAAAATTAATAATATAAAATTGTAAACCCCAAAATGAGCACAGGTTCTTCCCTTCTCTTTAATCCAAAAATTAATAATATAAAATTTTGAAGAACCTCTAAGAGAGGTTCACTAATGTACCTGCTCTAATTATGGTTTATCTATTGGTAGATCTTCATATAACTCTTTAAACTACGAGGATGAAAACTGGAAATATAACTCTTTAAACTACGAGGATGAAAACTGGAAATTTTAATAGTTTGAGTTTCTAATTGCTTAAAAGATATTTTAGGTAGTTCTTTACCAACATAAAAGTTTGTGTTGTTATCTGACAAATATTAAATAAGTCTGATATTTTTAAGGTTTTTTCCAATTAATTCTGACAAAGAAACAAAAAAAAAGCTCAACATATCCCGATGGAGCACACAAAGAATCAACTAAATCATGTAAAACATAAATTGTCGCTTCCCAAAAAGAACTAATTTTTCATTTGAGAGTTTTCCTTACACCAACTAATATATTTATGCATGTATAAAAGAATTAATTACTTGGAAATTACGACATATAATTTTTTTAAAAATTTTCCTAAGATTCAGTTATTAGCGACATATAGTCTTCATATATGTCCTTTGAATCCATTCATGTTTTTTACCAAAAGCAAACAACCAAAAAAATGGAAAACCCCAACTTAGTTCAAACATCAAGCACGACGATGCACGTTTTCATCGTCGTCGTCAACAGCATCGGTGGCACCAGCAGCTAGATCAAGAAGTTTCTCCATCTGCAATGTCATCTCCATGAGCGTTTTGGAAGACTTGTCGATGTTTTTCCCAACCGTATCCTTCACGCGCTTTATCTCATCGCCAGAAACCATAACGTCGTAGTTGGCAGTGTCTGGTGTGTCCTTGAGTTGCAAGTTTGCGCTCTTAAGAGACGCCACAATACCAACGTAGGCGTCGTGGCACTCGTTGAATTGCGTCGTCAATGCTGCCTCCTTTTTGGCTGATTCGGCCGCAAAACCTGCAGTTTTCTCAGCGTGGGCTACTGCAAGGCTGACCACGGCTTCCGCCAATGGTAACTACATATTTTAAAAGTACAGATTTTGAAGTTATATTGACTGTTTTAAATAGGGATAGGTATTATTTGACCAAAAAAAAAAAGAGAGATGGGTGTTAGATAAAGAACACAAACAAACGGGCTCGTCAAAGATGGATTGGCTAGTCAAAATAATACAACAGAAGTTAGACATTTAATAGATAAATTAGTTCGGTTTGAACATCTTTATCTATAATCATTAGAGTTAGGTTTATTGTAAATTCAGGTACACACATTTTTAAAAAAATATCTAAACAGTTTATTTTCTTTCAAAAACTACTCTAACTAGCGCGGATTAAGTCGTTTAGAGATAAACTAGGACTACCCTAAAGTGACTGAGCCTAAAACGTTAGGCCAATACTGATTCAAGCGTTTAAAAATCGGGCAAAGAACCAAACTGAATTAAACCAAACTCGAACAAACATAAATTTCTATGCTTTTTCTGAAACAAAAACCCGAATACCAAACCGCAAAAAAGAAAAGTAATGTGTATTACAATCATGATTGAATAGTAATGTGGTCAAATGGTTCTTACCAGGCCGGTTGCAGAAGCGGCGGGTGGATAGGTGGTTAATGTCTGGACGCAGAAGGATTTGTTTTTGACTCGTTGACAGTTGGCATCGATGTATTCTCTGTTGATCAATGCTGATGCTGGTGCTAAGAGAAATTGTGACAAGATTGCCATAGTAACAACGAAGAAACAACCGGAGGAAGAAGCCATTTCGTCGCCGGAAAATATTTTATTTCTCTCGACCTCTAAGTGTTTGGGAATCAGATTTTTGGTTTTACCTTTTGATGGTTTTGGCTATATCACTTTGGACTTATATATAAAAATGGCAGCCTAATATAAGAATGTTGTTGAAATCTGTTTCAAATTTGGTCAATTTACTATAATTAGGATTCCATTTTCTTAATGTGGAAAATTTCTATACATAGGGTCAGTGTCATGGTTTCTAAAATTTTAGTTAGAATAATTGTTGTTCCCTCTATTTTAAGACAGTGGAGTGCCCCGAAGATATTCAATAAAATTGGAACCATAAGATAAGCCAGTAGAGTCACCTCAATCATTAGAAATTATAATGGCTAAACATTCAAAAAGTTGAACAAACAAAACTTAGTTTTGACTCCTACACAACTCCAAGCTTACACTAAACTTATTCACAGTTGCCCCAACTATAATGTTCACAACTCCCAAACCAAACCACGAGGGTCTAAACCCGTAATATAGTGAAAAAATTAAAACAATTTCACTCAGCAAGAAAAAGAAACCTTTTTAATTACTTCCACTGTTCACTCATCACCGTCCTTCCTCTGCAGCTGCATAGCTTCTACTCTCACTGACTGAAGAACCAACAATCATATCCTTCTGTGCTTTGCTTCTTGTTCCCCAGTTTCCATGCCTCGCTTCTGATCGAATAGTTGGTGCTCTCTCATTAGACCCCACTCTCATTTGGTCAATATCGACCCTGTGATTAGCAGTATCGATACCCTCTTCAGCATTAGAACGCTGCTGTAGTTTTATAACATCTTCATCAATGTCTAAATCGTCTTCCACCTTCTGACGCCGTTCCTCCATACTTACTTCATCTTCCGCTCTTTCCCATGTGGTAGCCAATGTAATATTTCTCGGAGGCTCTTCTTTGGTGAACGCTCTGAAGTCATTCCTCGAGGGCTTAACTTTCGAGCAAAATGTCTCAAGAAAATTGTTTGAACAACCACGGTTATAAACGTTGATTCTATTGTCTGATCTGTACCGGAAATTCTCATAGGTCGTCTGAAAAAAAATCACAATGTGGGGAATCAGATGAGACACAGTTTACTCAATACAAATCCAGAACAGATCAAAAACATACCTGATTTGTACTAATAAGATACAAATGGAATCCAGTAAGCCCTCCAACAAACCACAGGGAAATAAAGCAATATATCATCAACATAACAGACCAAGGTGATTCTCGCATTGCCCTCCACACAGTACCTTGATTGTTATCCATCAGAACCTTGATGTATAAAGCAGACATCGAAAACACGTAGATGCAGAGAAGGGTTGCAGAGGAAACAAACATAAAGAAGTACCTATAGTTTCTCTGCCCACCAACACACACACACAACAACAACAAAAAAATGCGTTGTCAAGACGTATTGGCCTAACAGAAGAAAAGATGGAGGAAAATCAAAGCCATAGTTTTTTTCATCAACAGATAGAACAAATGTTCAACATTTGCATATTAACGGCTTTTTTTCAGGTTATAACAAGTTATGAGCTACATATCTCCCAAGTTTAATATGCGTTTAAATCAGCTTACCACTCCAATGCACTGGCCTACCCACGGGCAATGATGATCAAAACGCTCAACACAATTATTGCATATGGAACAATGTGAGCAACGAGGAGGCCGATAAAGCATGCATGTATCGCAGTATTTAACTCTAACAGAAACGCCATAAATCATGACTTCTTTCGTCCTAGGGATTTGAACAGTGGGTGTTTGTCTTCCATCACTTGACACAGTCGTATCATAGCATAATTCTTCCTCAGGCGGATGCGAATTTCTTGGAACGATTCCAGGATCTCGCGCAGAAGTGAGGAATAGCAGGATCAGTACCTATCAGAACCAGTTATATGATTAAACAAAGCAAAAATGAAGGGAAGAACATTAAACCTACCCATCAAAAAATTCCAAAAGCCACACAGAAAGTGGCAACATTCAACTTATAGCTTGTGAAACATAATACCTCAAACTTCACTACTAAGCTAGACAAAAGAACATAAACATCATATTATACATTTTAAATTCATTCTTTTGGTTAGATTCTTAACTTATTGTGTGGTAAGATGGTTACCAGTGAATCATACTACGATGCATTTCTATAATCAATTACTCAAAAGTTACAAAAGAGATGGTACGTGTTTACACTACCCTAAGTTAGAGGTAAAACATGTAAACAAGACAAGACATCAAATATTGAATATCAAAAGGGCATTGGAGAAGACTTACGAAAACAGTAAATAAAATCGCTACCACTAAGATTGCATCCCCTGCGGTGCTCGGTAAGAACTCGTGGCGAAGATGTGTTGCAACAAATACAGAGAACAAACTAACTGGAGTTATGATGAGCAGCAAGGTAAAAGGAAGAGACCAAGCGTCTGGCCCAAATATCAATCTCCCACCAAATAAAAACTTCTGCAAAATAGCAATGAAACAGGAGACAGATTGATCATGTAATAACTATACTCACAAGTATAAGGGGATTCCATCGAACAAAAATGACAATATGGTTTCATCCAAAATGCATGCTCATGCTTGGAGAAAGAATCAAGAGACCGATACTGAACATTTATGTTCATCAATGTCCTATATATGGCTTCTATTGAACAAAATAAAATATAGTAATAAGGTCATCTTCATACTTAGACCTTGATCACTTGAGCAAATGATAATAACAAGCTATCAATAGTGATAAAGCTAAAATATATTCGAGAAATCGAATTCTTACCAAATGAAAATTTTCCTCCGAACCAATCAGTCATACTACAGCGTAAAATGTCTCTTTTAAAGAAACCCTATGTAAGAATTTCTTGAGAAACCAAGAGAATTCGAATAATGCAGATTCCAGAAAAGGGAGAATCACATACTTTAACAATAGAAAACTTACATTACTTCCCTTCCAGGCTTCGTGGACCCGTCTCGCCATTAGAATCAGCGAACGGATCAGACACTCTTCGCTACTCTCTGACCAATTGGAAGATCCTGGAAATTTCTTTGCCGATTCATCTCATTAAAGAGTAAGCGCGGAAAATGATGCAAACCCAGAAGAGAGTTATAGCGAAAAGAAAGATAAATGGTGGGTTTTGTACGATTCGTGGTGAATGTGATCTCTCTCACAGAGAGCGTTTTCGTTTCTGGATTGTGTCTCCCAAGACGAACATGATAGTTTTGTTCCTTTTTTCACTTTTCTTTTTGTTTATTTTATTACGACATTATATACTTTGAAAAGAAAGAAAAAAAAACATATGGCATAAAAATTGAATTGAACCAAACCTAAATTCATCAATTTGACTCCAAACCAAAGTTTATTATCACTCGAACACCGAATCATCCAACCCGATTTACCAAATTAATTTAAACTGTTTGTTTCGGGGTTTTTCGTCCATTTAGAGGTTAATCTCCAGCACTATTGTAACATCTCTTAGTCCAATTTGAAGAAACCCATCAAACCCCAATCCATTTAGAAAACCCCAATCCATTTATAAAACACTAATTTAGTATCATATTTAAATGAGAAATTAAAAGAGAACGAGCCTTATTTGTTTCTCCAAAGTCCTAGCCACCAAGAGAAAAAAATAGATATCATCCTTAGCCGCTCCAGCCACCGCGAGCCTCCTCCCTGTCGCCTCCTTGATTCCTTTGCTTTCAGCCCTCTTTGATCCAGGTCTGCATTTTTGTTAACGTAGGGATTAGATCTAAGTTTTTTTTCTTATTTTCTTGTCTTCTTTTGATATGTGAAGTTTAGATCTAATGAAGTTTGGACGTGTTACAAAGTACATACACATTTTCTTCATGCATCTAGTCAGATCTACATCATAAAACTGGATTAGGATCTCATTAGAGTAAGAATCTGCATGCTTTCTTGGGACTATGTTGCTTAACTAGTGAGTGGAAAATAGCTATATCAGTTTTTCGTCGCAGCTAAGGGATGTCGATGGTACAAATATTGTGTGCTGGGAATCGGATCTGGAGAATAGGCCGGTTCTCAATGCCGGAAGGTTAAACGAACTTCAAGACAGTCTGTGTGACCTTGGTTTGATATATTGAGCAGTGGTTCTGGAACGTGGTGGATGAGAAATTGTGTATCCCATGTTTGTGTAGTTGTTTGTGCGCTTGTAGAGCATGTTTGTTGTTTGTTTAATTTATTCTTGGCATATTGGTGAAATATGAGCGGGTAAGGGAGCGAGCCTAGGTTTGGTTCTCATAATCTCAATTACTCACCATTCCTCTATATCTATTATTTTGCAGGTGGGTATGGTGATGATGTGTTTGATGATGATTATTAGGAACTAGATGATGTGTTTGATGATGATTATGAAGAACTAGATGAATAGTTCTAGTGTGGTGTGCCTTTGGAGAGGAAGGAGGTTTTATTTGGCTTTTAAGATAATCCCGTAATTCATTTCTAAGACATTTATTTTGGTATTTATTTTGGATTTTCTTTAAGAAGTCTTCTTAGGATTTGTAAGACTTTGGATTGAGATTTGGGAATAAGAAATGGGAATTTGTTGGGAATGTGGTTGTTAAATGAGAAATAGTTTGCTAACTTATTTACCAGTGAGTGGGATTATTGGACTGGTCTTTTAGCATGCATTCCTATTGGTGTCGCAACTGATTATACTCCTGAATCGTACAAAAGAAAAAGCGATAAAAAGTGTAACTGGGGAAAAGGGGCTTTGGGACACTCTCCCCATAGATGCTGAGAATCTTGCAAAAGAAAAGGAATTGATTCATCGCAAAGAGAGAATAGCCCTTCTTTACCCTACATCACCGGGTAAAAGATGCCTCTACTTCTCCGCGTGCTGGGCATACCTCTTCCATGTATCTTTCTCGTGGCAGAAACAAAACAACAGGGAAAGACCTCTTCATCTTTATTTGGTAAAGAGGCGGGGTTAAATGTGATATGGTAGTTTCGTCTGGCTCCTTTGAGAAGGCAGGATCGGAGTGTTTCAAGTTGGTAATAGAGCATGGTTCGAGAGGACATTAGAGAGTTAAGTTTAGAGTATTAAGGATGGATATCAGATTTCAAAGTTTTCAACAAAAAAAAACCACCACCTAGATTAGCTTTTCTAGTCATTGTTGTTGTTTTATTTGCAGAAATATCAGTCTTTACGCGACCAGACTGACTTACTTGCCTCTCTCTTGTTGTGAATTTGTAGATCCCTCCAAAAAAAAAGAATGTTCAAGCAAGGTCTGCAGCCGGTCGTTTGGCTGGTGAGGATCAAACCACAGAGACCCTAGGAAGTGTGAATGGAGGCCCAATGAAGCAGCAGCAAGCCCCCGTGAACCAACCAGGAGGAAACCATGTTCGAAATGAGCCTGTTTATGTGCCAGCCGCAGCCCATGCTGCCTTCTTGGAGGAGTTTCACCGATATCAGCATAGGTATAAAGACATGAACCAAGGACCATGTGTGAATGCTCACCAGCAGCAGCATCATGTGCCACCTCTAGTGAATCTTCATCTGCAGAACATGCCTCCGCTGCTGCCTCTTGCGCCAGTTAATGAGTTTGGTTTGACGTATTATGAGGTCATGAGACATCTAAATGACATGAAAATGGAAGCCTTTGGAAGGAGATATGATCTTGTCTCTGCTGATAACTATAGGAAGAGGTTGTAGAGGAATTTTGATTCCATGAGGTATTCGGAGGGTTACTGATAGGATTTAGCTATTCATTAACTTAAGGATGAGGCACTGATATGGTGGGAATGTGTGGTATAAGAAGTCCAACGTTGTTATGAATTGACATGGGATGATCTTAAGGAGGAGTTCTCCCAAGAATACTTTTCAGCTGAGGCCATATACCAGATTGAGAGTGCTTTTGTGGACCTTCGCCAGGAAAATTGTAATGTAAAGGAATACAAGGAAGAGTTTAACAGGCTGAGGAAGTTATCCAGAGAGCATTTCACACAAGCTGAGTTAGTTTACCAGTTCATGAAGGATCTGAGATTGAAGCTAAAGAAGCCCATAGAACACCGGTTTTTTCAGCTCCAGTCTCATACTCTTCATGAACTGGGAACCAAATCAGCTTGCGTGAAATGCTTCTTGTAAAACCTCCTCAGCCTGTTAAATTCTTCCTTGAACTCCCTCACAGTACAATGTTCTTGGCAAAAGTCTTCAAAAGCACTCTCTATCTGGTCCAAGGCCTCAGGTAGAAGTATTCTTGGGAATAATCCTCCTTAAAATCATCTATGTCAGCTCATAAAGACCTTGGACTCCTTCTACCACATCTTTCCATCATATCAGTGTCACGTTTTGAAGGTACTGAACAACTAAATCTTTTCAGTAACCCTCTGTGCACCTCATGAAATCAAAATTTTCTCCAACCTCTTCTTCAATTATTAGTAGAGACAGGATCAGATCTCCCTCCAAAGGCTTCCATTCCCATGTCCTTCAGGTGTTTCATGGCCTCTTAATTTGTCAAACCAAACGCATAAACTGGCGCATGAGGCGGCGGTGGAGGCATGTTCTGCGCCTGAACATTCACTGGGAGTGGCACATGATGATGCTGCTAGTGAGCATTCACACCTTGTCCTTGGTTCATGTCGCCATACCTCTTGGATCCTCCAAGATGGTAGCATGGGCTGCGACTCGAACATGAACAGGCTCATTTCCAACTCGGTTTCTTCTCGGTTTGTTCATTGGGGCTTTCTGCTGCTGGTGGTCCACTAAGACTCTCCATTCACACTCCATGTGGTCTGTGTGGTCGGATCCTCACTAGCCAAAAACGACAGACTGCAGACCTTGCTTGAACATTCCTTACTTTTGGAGACATCTACAATTTCACAACAAGAGAGAGGCAAGGAACTCGGTCTGGTTTTGTAAAGACTGATTTTCCTGCAAATAAAACAACTACAGTGACTAGAAAATGTAATATAGGTGGTGGTTTTTATTTTTTTTTGAAAGCTTTGAAATCCGATTTCCACTGCTCTACCTTGGATATCTCAGATCACTGGTAAATTTTTGTGCCTCCTAGGACTTCTCAGATCACTGGTAAATTTTTGTGCCTCCTAGGACTATCTCATTAAGCAATCCCCCTTAAAAAAAACTAAAAAAAAAAATTGAAAGGAAAGAAAACAAAAAGCCTAAATAATTATTTGGCCAAAAAGTTCAATAAAGGGAGGCATAGTTCATTGGTGACAAGTTTAGACGCCATTTGATTCCTTTTCCGCGCTAAAACATAAGTTTGGAGGAATGGTGAAGAAGTAACAAAAAGGAGGAATTTGCAGCCACTATTGTGCAAAAAGATGTGACTGGAAACTGTGGTTATTACTATATCCTTCTTTTCTTGCTTTTTTGCATAATATCTTGCATCCTCCAGCAAAAAATGGTAACCCAAAACATGTTAAGCCTCACTATTAAAAAGTCTTTGATATCTAGCCCCTTCTGTTGAGAAATTTACGCAAAATTTAATGGTTGTAGAGAGGTAGTTGACCAAAATTTTGAATCTAGATAGGTTGGATTTCGCATCAAGGACACCATGTTATAGTGACACAGGGATTTTGTTGAGAATTTTTTGAGGATGGATTTAGATTGATTTAGTTTGATTGTTATAGTTTGGAAGGACTGTGTTTAGCTAGTTCACTCAACTTTCAACCTTCTTTCCGAGCTTTGATTTCTGTTTTGTTTAAGGACAAACAAAGATCTAAGTATGAGAGAGTTGACATAACCTTTTTTTACACCTTTTTGGATATGATTTCAAGATCTTTTGAGGGTGTTTTAACCCGGTTTTTGATATTTTTTCAAGTGATTTCTATGTTTTGGAGTTTCAAAAGTCTTTTTAGGTTATTTGGACGAAAACATTGCAAATTGGAGCAAAACACTCAATTTTAGACAGATGTAGACCATTAGCAATCCAACTTTGGAAGAAGACCTTCTCACCGTCTGTTGATGCTGCATAGAATGGGGGTTGGTTTTACTAAGCTTCAGGTTCTAAATTTATAATCCCTAAATGTCTGCAAGTGCACAGATGTGCACTGTAATACTTAGGGTATCGATCCACAAAGACTTGGCTGTTTTAGTACGAATTCACGCTAATACTTAAATCATATTAGAGCTGAACAATTTGGGTTTTTGGTTTTGGGTGTCACTAAATCTAAGCTAGAAAGCAAAGTAAGTAAAAAACAAATAAAAATCGAGGTTGTAAATAATTAAAAACGGACGCTGAG